TTAATCAACCCTTAAGTGGAGGGGAGGGGGGGGGTGTCGCTACACAGAGGAATGGGGTAGAGTTAATTAATCAGCCTTAAATCATCAGGGGTTGCTAAACGAAGGGGGCTCTGGCAGAACTCACAGGAGTTTGAGGAGCTCCTCAGCTTTGTTTTAATTTGCCAACCCCCCCCCAAAAAAATGCTATTTAATTGTTTAATTGCAGTCGATGATTCCTCCCCAGATGGATGAAAAGGGCTGAAATGGCCTCATTTTTCTGCCCCCCCCCCTCCTTTGGAGCCCCCTCTGGGCTTGGCGTAGGCAATTAATTCTTTGAGCAAAACTGCTAATTAGCCTTGTTAGGAAGGGTCTCGTTTGCACGGGTGAAGGTGGAGGGGAAACGAAGGGTTAACGAGGGCTGGGATTTGGGGACTCTCTGGGCAGTTATTGCATCTTTTTAGAAAGACTGACGCCTTCTGCTGATTCCTCCCCCAAAAAAAAAAAACCCACCCCATCCTGCTTTTAGGTATTAAAAATAATCTTAATTAACAGCAAAGCTTTCCCTGACTGGAAGCAAAGGCTTTGCTGGGCGAGGGGGTGGAGGAAGCCCCCACCTGCCATCTCCGTAGCTTCCTTTTTGGTTTTTTTTAGCTAATTTTTAGGTCATTTTAAGCCAACCCGACGACAAACAACAGGTTGCCTCACGGCCGGCGATGCCGAGACTTGTAGCTCTTTTTAACAGCCTTTAACAACAAAAAAGGGGGAGGTTTTGGACAAAAGGATAAAAAAAGGGGTTAAACGGCGCTGGAAGTCAACTATTAAAACCAAAGCTTAGCAAAAATTAAACCACCCCCCCCCCTCTGGCAGGTGCCACCCAAGTGTCCTTTGAGCACCCAAAAGGATAAAAAAAGGGGTTAAACGGCGCTGGAAGTCAACTATTAAAACCAAAGCTTAGCAAAAATTAAACCACCCCCCCCCCTCTGGCAGGTGCCACCCAAGTGTCCTTTGAGCACCACCACGCAGCGGGCTTTTTTTAGGGTTTAATTTTCTTAAAAAAAAAACCAAACAAAAAATATCAATTCCCTGAGGCTTTGGTGGGCTCCCAAGGGGCTGGGGGGGGGGAACATCCCCCACCCTCTCCCTGCCCTCAAACCCCTCTTTATGGCAAATTTTTGCTCAGCCGCCTTCTGTTTGTGCTAAAGGAGTTTATTTTGCCTCTTTTCTACTTATTTCTCAGCACCCTTTTTAGGTCCCTGCAGTACTTTTGTAAAGATCCGCGGAACGTTTTCTATCTGAATTATTAAATGACTTGTTGGGTAGGGGGTGGTGGTGGTGGGGTGTGGTTTTTTTGTATATTTTTTATATTTGGGTTCTGTAGCTGTTATTTTTGAACCTCTCCCAGTCCTATTTTTGGGGACAGATCTTGAAATATTCTACCTGGTGGCTCGTGGAGATGTTTTGAGCCCGGGCACGAAGGGCCCATAAAGAGCCTTTTTTCCTCTCGGTGCGGCCGTTCTGAGGGGGGAAGAGCTGAAAAAAGAAGAGGGAAAGGGTCAAGAAGAGGTAAAAGGGAAAAAAAGGGAAAGGAAGAGGTTAAAAGAAAAAAGGGAAAGGAAGAGGTAAAAGGAGCAAAAGGGAAAGGAAGAGGTAAAAGGAGCAAAAGGAAGAGGTAAAAAGGTGAAAGTAGAGCTATAAAAAGATGAAGGTGAAGGTAAGGCCAGAAAGGTAAAGCTTAAAAAGAGGAGAATCCTCTTGTCCTGGGGTAAATTGGAGTAATTAAGGGGATAATTACGGGATATATTCAGTTTACAGCTCTACTTGCAGCCATGAGAAATAGCCTCCTGCTGGGCCCCAATTATATTCATTTTTTCCCCTTCTTTCTCCTCCTCTCTTTCCTTTTTTCCTTCTCTCTTTCCTCTTTTTCCTCCTCTTTTTCCTTCTCTCTTTCCTCTTTTTCCTCCTCTTTTTCCTTCTCTCTTTCATCTTTTTCCTTCTCTCTTTCCTCTTTTTCCTCCTCTTTTTCCTTCTCTTTCCTCTTTTTCCTTCTCTCTTTCCTCTTTTTCCTCCTCTTTTTCCTTCTCTCTTTCCTCTTTTTCCTCCTCTTCCTCCTCTTTTTCTTGCTCTTCCTCCTCTTTTTCCTCTTTTTTCCCTCGGGCAGGTTTCATTTTTTTATTTCCTGCTGGAAATATTTGGGGAGAGGGCGAGTTTGCTCCCGCTCCTGGACTTTAGCTCTTCCCTTTTAACGTGGAGGTTGTGGAAACCCTGCCCCAAACAGCCAAGGCTCCGTTTATTTGCATAAAACACCCAATATTTATTTTATTTTTTTCAAGTCTGGGAATAGGAATTGAATCTAAATTTAGCAAAAGGTGGGGTTTTGGTTTTAGTGGGACGCAGGGCTGGCTCCGCTGTGTTCCCTAAACTGGGGGGGTTTGAGGAGCAGAATTTGGGATTTTCTCTTTCCAACCCACTGCCTTTTTGCTCCCCGAGAGCTTCGGAAAGCGGAGAGGTAAATTTTCCAATAAATGAGGGGTTTTTTGGGGAAAAAACCCAGACCCACTCAGGCGAGGGCAGGTGTCCGGTGGGATTTCGGTGTCTGGAGAAGCTTCACTCCATGATTTGGGTTCTTTTTTTCTGCAAAGGTGGAGGGATCCACGCTCTTGGGAGCACGTCTCCCGCGTTCACGGTGTATTTAAAGGCATTAATTTCTCCCTTTTTTGGGGAATAATCGCGCTCTTTTCTGCCTCGAGGCGCAACTTTCCTCCCCGCAAACCGCGCACGCTCCGAGTCCTGCCCCGAATCAGCCCAGGGCGAGTAGAAAAAAAAACAAAAAAACTATTAAAAAAATTAATTATTTACTACTTTTTAAAATATATTTGAGGCATTAACTGCTCCTCCTGCGCGTCGGGCGCGCGTCGGCGTGTGACGGTCCCCTCGCTGTCAGCCTTTGCCACCACAAATAAAAAGTGCCTGTTTGGACCTCGCTGCCTTGTTTCCTTCCCCCCTCCCTGGGGGAAAAACCCTCACCCCCTTTCCCTTGGGAGGGGGGCACCTCAGGGGGATCCGCCGCTCGTTATAGCTCCTCTTCGTTAGGGCTCGTGCTCCTCTCCGCCGCGTTGCTCTGCAGGACACCTGGAGAAAGACAACGGATACGGCTGGTTTTCACCCCAAAAAAGGGCCGTTACAGCTTGTTTCGAGGATAAAAAGTGCCTGTTTGGACCTCGCTGCCTTGTTTCCTTCCCCCCTCCCTGGGGGAAAAACCCTCACCCCCTTTCCCTTGGGAGGGGGGCACCTCAG